AGTATAGCTTGTAGTAGGTTTAGGGTTTAGGGTTTTTGTTTTAGGGTTTAGGGGTTTAGGGGTTTAGGGGTTTAGGGTAGTAGTACTACTAGTAGCAGCAGCAGCAGCAGCAGCAGCAGCAGCAGTAGTAGTACCACCACTACCACCACTACCACCACTACCACCACAACCACCACTACCACCACTACCACCACTACCACCACTACCACCACTACCACCACTACCACCACTACCACCGCTACTATTACTAGTTTTGCTGCATGGGCATAGCACTACTACTTCTACATTGTCCACTACTGACTGCTGTCTCATCGTCCTCGTCACCATCATCATCATCATCAGCATCATCGTCATCACCACCGTCGTCGTCATCATCATCATCACCATCTCCATCATCATCCTCGTCACCACCATCATCACCATCATCATCGTTCCGCTTTCCACACGTGGTTTTAATCTCATGGTTAGTATTGGTGTTGCACTGCTGCGAGATGGTGTGTCCATTGACACAAGCGTAATTGAAAGCGACCAAGAACTCTGAAAACTTAGCAAAGTCACTTCTTGCCGTTTTATCTCAGCCGCAGATGGTCGGCAGCCCGACACACGAAGGTGAACATCCGATAACAAGACTCAAGAAGAATCCCGAGAAGTGTCAGCAACAACTTGTGTTGTCAACATCTCGGCGCCGGAATGCATCCTCACCGAAGCTCCAAGGCAATTGGCGTTTCCGAAATCTGCATGCGAGGTCTTGGCCGGTCTTGTCCATCTTGGAGACCTCTCCGATGCGGAGAGGGACGAAGGTGGGGTTCCGGGGCAGACAACATGAATTCCAGACAGAGATTGACAGAGAGCATGGCGGAGAGAGCCGGAGGGAAGGACACGGCGACAGAGAGCGAGAGACAAGAAACAGAAAGACAGACAGAATCAGGGAGAGAGAGAGAGAGAGAGCGAGATCGACAGACAGAAAAGGATAGGCTCAGAGATGAGAGAGACTATGCATAGACAGGTATGTAATCGGTGGGAAAGGCAGGCAAGGAGATGGAAGTTCATACGATCTCAAGCGCAAGCCGCATATCCCAAGCGTGCAGCCCGTGCCCAGAAGACGTCACGGCAATCGTCGAGCTGGATGAGGAGATCTTGGAGAAGGCACCCCAGTGAGTCCAAGCCCTCGACAAGGCAGTCGATGTTTTCCTGTGCAACTAAGCTGCTAAGCTAAAGATGCCAGCACAAATCCTGGAGACAATAGCCGTAATCTGTCAGCTTTCGCCAGGTCCTCTACTGTGACCCTCCGGAATACACTCTACATACCTTGCGCCGCTTTTGTAGGCTTTTGCAGGCCCTGGACCGGAGCCAACCCTAACCCTAAATCTTTCATCACAATACCCCAAACCGGAAACCTCAATACACTAAACCCTAAACGAAGGGTATATAATTTGCTATACTATACGATAATATACTATAATATACTATAATACACGATAGTATACGATAATATACTGTAGTACACTATAACTAATGGGCAGGCCTCCCAGCTGCTCGGGCTCGACGACGAGGAGCTGGGCACGGCTCTCCAACGGCGGAAGGCCGGCAGCAAGGAAGGGTTCAGTTTTTGGGGGCCCTGACGGGGATTTATGGCATTTTTGACAATCATTGCAATAACGAGAGCTTTAGGGACTTTAGGGGTTGCCCGAGTCTAGTTTCTGTGTTGGACTCCCGAGTCTGCATGAAGGCGCGTCCAACAATCGCGCCAAAAGCGAATTCTGGTGAGACGGTGTTTGCTCCAGCAAGACCGCGGAGGGAGGGCGCTGCCAGCCCTAGCCTAAGTCTAACTATTCAGGGTTCAGGCTTCAGGTCCCGCAACTCATGGCCAGAGACTGAGGCTGCTTGCGGCTTACAGTTCCGGTTTCTGGAGGCTGTAGTTTAACTTCGACCGGCAGGCCTATAGACCTCAAAGTCCTGGGCCCTGGACCCCCTCATGCAAACAGTTTGGCCTTCGTGCGTATGGTTTTTGCCAGCCAGGTGCGGGTGAAGCATCCTGGCCGAGAGTCGATAACCGAGGCGGGGCGTTTGGAGAGCTGTTTCTACCTAAATTTTGAAGACACCAGGGGCCCTAATCCTACTCCGCATACTCCGCAAGGATTCAATAGGTGGGACTGAGGGCTTGGTGCTCGGTGGCTTGCGACAGAGGGGATGTGTGGCCGTGCCCATTCCCTTTCAGTGAGTGGTTTCCCGTTTTATTCAGTATGGAGGTTTAATTGAAAGAAGGCGTTTACGTGTGTGCCTCTATGATTGCCTCTGTCTCTCTGTGTGTGTGTGTGCGTGCGTGTGTGCATGTATGTATGTATGTATGTATGTATGTATGCATGTATCTATCTATCTATCTATCTATCTATCTATGGGCGTATGTGTGTCTATATGCATGCATGTATATGTTCGTCGATGACGTGCGCATGCGTATGTATGAATTCGCGCAAAGGGTAGCTACGCCTGTAAGAACGAGGCCCTGCAGGTTGCTTGTTCAACACGAGTGAGACAACAGCAGACAAGGGAAGCCTACCAAGAGCCACCATGATCAAGGGGCATAGAAAAATAAAAGTTGTAAACATCAACAGTGAAGAACATCCTGAAAGGAGATGGTTATAATACGGAGAAAAGCAGCAACTCTCAAGAATCGAGAATACTTAACCGAGATCACCAATCCATAATGGCTCTCGGCAACACACCAAGCATACTGAGGACTTATGTAGTTAAGAATATCTCCTAATAGTCAATAGTCACGCCGACAGATTGTCCCAGGTTCCGCGGACTACATCCCAGTTCAGACACGCATTGCACAGCCTGATCAAAGCGCCCCTCGGCTAGGCCGTCTGGCAGATGCCGTGCTATGCCCCCAAGTGTGAAACAGATCCTATAACCCGGTCATGCCTGAAACCATCTACCCCAACCCACTGCCTAACCAAGATTGCGGCACCAAAGCACATCTTCAACGATTGGGGCGAAGCCCTGAAACCATGCAGCTTTACATTTGTGTGAGTCATTCCGGATCATTACTCTGAGCTTTTGCTTGAGCTCCCGAACACACCCTGCACCCTGCTTCCTGAATCCGAAACGCCGTCCCAGTGTCCCAAGCCCACATTTATGGAATTTCGCTAAGGCTGTACAAGCGGCTTTTCGAAAGGTTGGTGCAGCGAATCAACAGCCGTGAGCTCAAACTTCTTTTTCGAGCACAAGTAGAGGGTCGAGTAGGGGTTTGTAGTTTGCAAGGCCATAAGGCTCAGGAATGGTCGAGTTTGGATTATGTCAGGACTTGTCAGTATGATCAGCAATAGCGGCTGCTTTCGGCACAGAGCTGTTCTGAAACTGAGCGAGCCCTCAGCCCTTAGTGCAGACAAGGCTCCTTTCGCGAGCTGTGCCCTCGCGAGCCCGGCGAGGACAGCCGACCCCGGAAGTTTGTAGCCAGGAATGTTTCACTCTCACTCAGGATCTGCCATTCACGAAGATCTGTGGATTTATCAAGCAGCGCTGCGATTGCACAGGAAGAAGCTGACACGGATCCCTAAAGTGCTGTGCATTCCGGCTTCTTGCCCACTTCCCCGCAGGATGCGCCGTGGTGTGAGACGGGCATCCTTGACATCTACGGCTTCGAACGTTTAGAGCGCGTCCCGGCCTGGCTTCTAGGAGTCCTATATAGGCCCTGAAACATCGGAGATTCGAAGCTTTTCGCAAATCGTGTGAGCGTGCGTGCGACTGTGCGGGTTATGCGACTAGGTGGGTTGTCGGAAGCCGTCCGCGAAGGGAGAGAAACATGAGCTTGGTACTGTCCCAACATGTTTTGCTGCGCAACTGCATGACGTTGAAGTAAGTGCGTATTCAGAATGCATGATGTTCAACTCCCTTGTCAACAACGTTAGGCAACTCTTTCGAGCAGCTCTGCATCAACCTGGCAAACGAGCGGCTCCAGCAATATTTTGTGGAGACGCTCGGTCCGATGCAGTCTTCTGTGACACGGCCTCGCCGTTTGGTGGTTGTGGATTTGTGATAACCCTAACCCTTTCAGCGACGATGCATCGTCGCACGACAGAGGCCAGGACTTCACCGCAAGCTCGGAAGCCGGGAAGAGCCGATTTCACCCATCCTCTCGCTTGCCTCACATCCTGATGGCCCACAATTGTCTATCGACTATCAACTGCCATGGTCGACCCACCCATACCTTTCAGAAGAGCAGTACTCTAGATGGGCTGCCGCATGAAGCAGATCCGATGTGGTATGCAGAGAAGCTATGAGGATGAAAGGGCCCAAGGCGGGAACTCCGGATCGCATGAAGCCCTGGAGCTGTGCAGCCCCCAAGGAACGTCCTGGTTGCCGAGCAGGCCATCTACCGCCGGGAGGGCCTGGCTTGGCAGGGTGCTACGCTCAGAGCCTCCCCGCCCGTACAACTTCCCCGACGAGAAGGCCTCCTAATCCCTAAACCCTCAAGCTGCCTTTGCCTTTCATCCTTGCTTTCTCGGCTCCCAGGTCTTGCCTTGCCGGATTCGACGCCCGTACGCTGCTCAGGAGAGCTACCCCGTGATCTTGGTCTCGATGCCCCCGCCCGAACCCCACACGGACCCGCTGCAACTCCTGAGGTCGTGTCGGCGATCCAGCAAACTTTTCGTACTCTCGACGAGTACAGCCAGCAGCTCGCCAAAGGCGCACCGTTGTGGTGCAAGAAAAGCAATACTTCAGCGACCAGAGCTTTGGGGCTTGCGGAATTCAGACCTGCACTGTTCTTGTTCTTGGCTGTGGAATGGGGCCGGGGCCGGGCCATACATGTCGGCGTCACCACGTAGAACATGGCACCTCCGCGCAGGGATGCGCCGTGTCAAAGCTAGAGCGTGAGGTGATGCAAGACCCCAGTCTCCAGCTTGCCTTCTCTCTGGCTTTCTTGACCTTGGGGTTGTTGTGCTGTTCGCCCCAGATCTGCGGAGGTTTCGAGCGAATGTCGGATGAGGGCTTCTGCCAGAAGACCGTGGAGGATGCTTCAAAGGACCCGCCCTTGCTCAGCAAAGCTCCGAACTCTTTCGGGCGTTAAATTTGACGCACTTCAAGGCTTGGTCCGGGGCTCCTGTGATCTTCCCTAAGCCCTAAACACCAAGCTCCCACCGCCCAAGAACCTCAACCCTCAACTCCTGAGGCCTGTACTCTAAGCTGTTTTGAGAACAGGTTTTGCTAGACCAGCCGTATGCCCACCTGAACCTTATTCTTACAAAGCTCCCAGGCACAGTCGAACTCACAGGGCATGACCAACCCTGCCCGAAGCCATGGACCCTGCACACCAAGCCCCCAATCAAACAGACGAGCCCGGCAGGACATGCGGCGACGCGAGGTTCTGAGGCATATTTGGGGCCTTGGTTGAGTTTCGCGATGTTGTGCGCCTTGAGCTGAGTGAGGTGATGTGTTTAGGGGCTTCCGGGTTCGGTTTATTCGGGGTTTCCATGCTTCCTGGCCTCGGAGCTTAGGGAGCACTGAATTCCTGAATTCTGACAGTGTCGCGTGTTTGCGGCGCTTCTGGATCAGAATAGCGCGAGTTTGGGTTGCGGCCGATGTTTACTGAATCAGCAAGCCAAGGCACATCCCAAGGTTTGAGTGTGCGCTTGTGCTGTGTGCGCTTTTGCATGGAAGAGCCGAGGAGGTGTGAAGGAGTCAGGCATGTTTCAGTTGCATCCTCTGAAGCCTAAAGCTCTGAGCCAGTTTGCCGAAATTTGCCAAAGCAGCCAGCGACGATGAGCCCAAACTCAAAGCCGTGTGGCTGTGCGATGTCTTTCCACTCCAGTTTGGAACTGTCCTGCCAATCCCCAAGCCCTTCATCCCTAGCACGCCAAGCCCGAGCAATCAACCACCGGAACAGAAATTTGAATCCCCGAACCCCCAAAAAAACACCAAACCGTTGGCCCAAGGCCCAAAGCCAACATCCGAAGTCCCGAAGCCCCGAGATTCCACATGATTCCAAACTACCTGAGACGGAGAGGCAGCTGAAACTGTCCAATCGACGGGGGAGCGGCACCGGGCTTTTCTTGAACGAGGCGGGAAGTGGCTCTTTTTGAACAGCTTATGGTCTCTCGCCCTCTCTCTCTGTCTCTCTCTCTCTCTCTCTCTCTCTCTCTCTCTCTCTCCGTCTTTGTCTCTGTCTCTACCTCTCTCTCTCTCTCTCTCCATCTCTACCTCTGTGCCTTCCTTAAACCTTCCGTCGAGTATGGCACACAGCGGAAAGAATAAAGGACCAGTGAGTTGCAGTGCTTTTTGTCTCCCTCACGAGAAGCTGTGTGCCTGTGTAAACATGTTATGTATATTTATATATGCACACACACACACGGACAGACGGACGACGGACGGACGGACAAACACGCGAACAAACATATAAGTGTGTGTAGATAGATGCATATGCATATATATATATATATGTATACATGTGTATACTATATATATATATATATATATATATGTAAGCATATATGCATAGAGCCCTGTTCTAGATGTCGAGGCCCCTATACTAAGCAGCCGGAGACCCTAGGTCACTGGAGCGACAGTTGG